TTTAATTCAGCACTTTGGTGCTTACAAAAATAAAAAAATAAACCCAATGCATCCAGATGGATTTTGAAGACTAAGTGAATCTATCAGACTCAAATTCATTTGTAGTTATTATATCAGATGGGGCTTTGACACAATTGAAGGACATGAGATAGGACCACTGATTTGTGGGGGTGGGGTGGGGACCTGTGTTTCTGTCACTATCAGAAATGACTACCAAAGTTTTTTTATTCATTTGTAATAAACAAACAGCAGTATATATTTACTTATTGTCTAAAGTTATAAAAACTTTTTGTTTCCCTATCTTAATATAATCTGAAGAGACCCAGACCGGTTATTCATCTTACAAAATATCATTCTAGCTTAGGACTTCCTTTCCAAAATAAGGGACAAATTATTGCATTTTATACCTCTCACTATCAAAAAAAGAATAATAATGCCTGGTAGACTGCTTTGGGGGTTTTTTTATGTTTCATGTTTTGTTTCTTGAGTTTTTTTTTTAATTTTAAAGGGGAGTAAAATAAAGCAATAAAGCAGAACAAAACAAAAGTGAGAACAATATTGAATTTCATAAACAAGACAAGAAAATCACCCATAGTTGCCATGTTGCATATTATCATCCTCTAATTAGATCCTCAGACCACAAAGTCACTCAGATAACACAAGTACCAGGTTGTCCCTTTACTTCAGTTGCCATTATCTCACATTTTAGCCTGTGTTCCTCTGAATCAGCTAGTTGCTTACAGGGGAAAGGGTGTAGGGAGTGGAGCCCTTTTGGTCTCCTAGCCCACGCGCTGGCTGGCTCATGGGAGTATGGATTGGCTTCTTGGTTCTCTTTCCTACCTATGACTGCCGCTGGCTCATGGGGTGTCAAGTTGGCTTCTTGGTTCTCCTCCTGGCCCACGACTGCTACTGGCTCATGGAAAGGCTGGTTGGCCTCGTGGTTCACCTCCCAGCTTGCATGGCTGCTGCTGGTTCACAGGAAAGCAAGTTTGCTTCTTGGTCCCCCTTCCTGCCCACATGGCTATTCCCACTTTGGGTTTTGAAAGAGATATATTCTATATGTTGAAATACTGATCCGATACTATATCAAGTGACACTAAATCTCCAAACTTTGAGTGGAATCCAGATCAGGAAAAGGCTTTGCAACAGATATAGACTTGCAAGCAGTTCTGATACTTGGGTGTTAAAACTCAGCAAGTCTTCCGGTATTCAAGGTATCATGCTGAAATATATAAATATATCATGTTGCTTTTATGATTAAGCCTCAATGGGAGAGTAACAATGTAGTCTTCTAGGTTCCTAGATCAAGACTATGTCATTGACACCGGAAATAGAACATCTTCAAAAATATCCACTGTCATGCTGTTAACAAAAGAGGAAGTAACTAATCATGGGACACTAACTAGCCATGTGTTCACACCTAACCATCAGGAGTTAAATTCCACTGGACCCACCAAATCATTAAGGACAGGCAAGGACAGCAGCAGTCCATTATGGAACGTAGAACCTTAGTGACTGTACATGAATGGAATGAAAGAACATGAGTAATCTGTGTAAGCAGAAAGTCCAGATTCTCATGCCATCTGCCACAATTGTGTCAGTGCATCTCCCACAGGTCCCTCAGTTTTGGAAATGCAGGACTCCATCTTAACCAACTCACAGAGGGAAAAAAGCTTGGTTTTAGTACACAAGTAGTTCAGTTGGGTATATGAGTGAAAGCCAGAAATTGTTGGCAGCTACAATTGTGCCCCAAATAGTGATAGCCTTGAAAAACTAAAGAAGGGCTCTTCTTAAAGCACAGATCTTCAGATTTGGTCATCTACTTTGTGTAAAGTAGCCCTACACCACTTACCTCAAAGACAGTGGCAGATGTTCTGCACAATTAGTTCAGGGGTCTAGAAGAAGAAATACTAGAAGACTGGGGACAAGAAATTTTAGGACGGAGACATGTAATGGAACTATGGGAATATAAGTGTGAAGATCTTTGTAAATCACATTAAAATTCACCAGAGACAAACCATTGAGCACCAAAGCTCAGTAGTAAGTATCATTCCTTAAGGAGACAAGCCAGCCACTCAGTAACTAGATGAGTACACTGTACCCTCTTCATCCTGTGAGGAGCTTCATCTTGAAAGGAATTAAAATTTATTACAGATATGTTTTTGCCTTCCCTACTTACAAAGCTTAGCTTGTTTCACACAGCCAACCCTATCCCCTGCATCCTAAGACAAGGAGTATTTGGTCCACTTATATGGGATCTAACGAAGTATCACACCAAACCAGGGGAATGACTTTGCAGCAAAGAAAGCATAGCAATAAAGTTACAACCATGAGATGCATTGGTCTATCACATATATACAGAAAATGCCAACCACAAGAGAATAATGAGATGTCTGGCTAAAGGCATATGAGGTAACTTCCGAAAGAGAATAATTTGTGGGAATAAGGTGTCATTCTGCAGGATGCAGTGTCCACACTGAATCAATGGCTGTTTTATGTGCTCTGTCTCCAACCAGTAGAAAACACAATTTGGAAATTGCTTACCAGTACTATCAATGATACATTTGAGAAATTCTGACTTCCTATGATTCCATACATGGTATCTGGGAGATCTTGATACTCAAAGGCATACCAGGAGTCTCTCTGAATAAAATTATTGCTGCCTAAGCACTCTGAACACATCCAAGAGACCAGCAGTCAGAAAGAATAGTCAACATTCTTGACTTGACTTTGATCATCAGAAAGTATGTAAGATGGCTTTATCATAGTACTAACAGAAAAGAATACATTTGGCTCCCACACAATCCACTTGGATACCTACACTGTGCAGATGTCACCCTCTGGTCTCTGTAATTATAGAGGGTGTCACCTTACTCTTAGCTTCAGCTAACATAACACATCTGTCACCTTTGTAATTTCTGAAGCTGAAAAGAATCACGTTGTGCCCTTGTCTTTAGGGCAATCTAAATTCAGCGATTGCTCAACATGGAGACATCAAAGCCTTGTCCTTCCACTTGACAGAACTTTGTGGATGACAAATTTTCATGGAGTCTCCTGATGCCTTGGAGTAACTACACTGTAGGTTGTCTTCAACCTCCACCCAGTCGTATTTCTGGCCCTTGGTCATGAGAGCACTCCTTTAAACAATTTCCTACATCCTAGGCTGGGAATGTAGTTCAGTGGTGAAGTGCATGCTCAGTATGTGCAAGGCCCCAAGTCTGATACCCAACACCAAGCAATAAAACTTCTTACATTCTGTCACCAAACACTAAAACTTCTTAACATTCTAACCGTCAGAGAAGTGCTTTCTTGGAACTCAAATCTGTAACAGTGACTTTGTAGCTGAGACCACAATGACAAGAATGAGTCAGATACTTGAAAAATTAGGGACTTAAATTCAAACAGAAAAAAAAAATTCAAAGCCCTAAGATGGACAGAAGTTTCCTATGTTAAGAAGCAAAAAGAAAATAAAAGTTATATAAGAATAGAGAAAAACAATTACTTTCACCAGATGTGGTTGCACACCTGTAATCCCAACACTCAGGCAGATGAGGAAAGAGGACTTCTGTGAGTTCAAGGCTGGCATGGACTAACTAGTTTGGGACCAGCCTAAACTATAAGGTGAGACTGTGCCTCAAATAACAAAAACAAACAAAAAACCAGAAGGAATAGTTATTTTAAATGAATTTAGAGCTAAAGTCATAACATAAATCATGCTGGTGAATTTTTAGGCCATTGGAGAGTCTGGATTTCATTCTTAAATTACAAGAAATCATTATATGCCTTTATGAAAGAGAGAGATATGTTCCAATTGTGTTTTGAAAAGACTCCTTAGGAGTAAGGTTGAATGAAAAAAGACAAATTGGAGACTTATATTATAGCTCAACTCAAATATTATGGCAGAGTGAACTCGGCTGATGACAGTGGAGATACAATGATTAAAAATATATTTTGGAGTTAAAACTGAAAAGACTTGCTATGGATTGATGTGTGACTGAGGGAAAAGGAGGAAACGTGGATGTTAGTTTTGTGGCATAAAGAAATGATAGCTAGTGGAACAATTTAGGGACATCAGAGACATTAAAGGAAGATCAAGGTTTCTATGGGTAGTTGACTGATCAGATAATAAGTGAGGGTTTGGGCAATTAGGAGTTCCATTTGGAACCTAGGAACTTTAGACATTCCTCTCAGTAAAGAGTTCATATACAGTAAAGAGTTTGATACATAAGCCTGATGCTTAGACCTAGAAGAAAGATACAGTGAAGATACCTAGAAAGAAAACACCAGGATTTGGAGTAAAAAATAAAATAGCATTTTCTTTTCTGTTACAAAAGGTATTTACCTTTATTCACCATCTTCAGTGGGTTGTACTGAAATGAATATTTGCTTTAATTCTGAAAGACATGGTCTTGTATCCTAAGTCTTCCAGTTATGTATCACTTTTCATAAACTATTTTCACCTTACTTATATTAAAAATTTTACCAAAATCTTCTTACAAGCTTTATAGCATCATGTCTGCTCCAAGGAAGCAAATGGTATTCTTGTATCTATCCCCTTGAAGGTATCTATCTTTTCTTAAATTTCAGAGTTGGTTGGTTGCCTGGAAACAATACTTACCTGATAAACTTGAGAAAAGTTATGATTTTGTAAATTACTGAGCTTATACTAGTTGCTAGAGTGGAAATTATGTTTTTTTCCAACTTTTTGCATCCTAAACAGAAGCACTGATAGTCTACACATAAGAAATTTCAAGTGAATGTTTGGAATTTCTCCAAATTAAAGGAAAGTCATTTCAGAATATTTGTGGCATTGTTGGCTTCAAGACTGAAACAAAATTTGTAGATGTAGTGTGAAAATCTAAAACATCATGTCTTCAAATTTTTGCGCTTCACAGTTTCATCTTTTTATACTTTATTTCCTTGTATCAGATGGTTTATATGCATGTTGTTCTTCCAAAATCATTATGATATGTAGCTAGTGTTTATGTTTCCTCCCACAGGTATTCAAAAAGAATAATACTACCAAAGTAGCTGTAAAGGACTTGTCTTTGAATTTATATGAGGGACAGATCACCGTTCTTCTAGGACATAATGGAGCAGGAAAATCCACTACTCTATCCATTCTCTCAGGTTGGTATTCAGTATTGTTCAGAAGTTGTCCTCACCCAGAGACTATAGATAGAATAATAATATTTTTGTGTATCCTCTCATGTATCAATTATAGTCGTTGAAGTGATACATAGTTTAATAATCCACTTTCCTTTTAAATTTGCAAGTAATTATAAAATTTTAAAAATAAGTATTTTGGGGGAGGAGGAATTATATTAATGGTAAAAGGTAATCCAAAAAGAAGACAATAATTCTTAAAATATATGTATCAAGTTATAGAGCATCAAGGACTGTGGGGTATAGCCTAATGGTAGAGTGCTTACCTAGCATGCACAAAGTTCTTGGTTTAATACCCAGTACCACAAAAAAGAAAAATACAGAGCTGGAGATTTTCAGACATAAAGGATATTATTCCAGACTGAAACTCAAGAAATCAAGAGTACCAGAAATGATGAAATTGTCTATAAATATGAGAAACAACTTAAAAATTACTATGTATAAATATTTATTTATAATTTATTAAATATTATTCAAAAATATCAATATTCTTCTTTTATGTCAATGGGCCTACTCCTCCCCCCAGTGAAACAAGGTAAGCTAGCAAAAACTAATAGGCCCCCTCCCAAAAAAAACAGAACCATTTAAAATCTCTGAAAATATTTTTATGGGCAAACATCAAATTTATAAACATGTATTCAAGGAAATCAATAAAACTAATAAAATCTTCTAAACTGACATTTGAGCCACATTCTCCTCTGTTTATCACATTCCCCAACTCTACTTGCTGGTAGTTTCCACTCTGGATGAGTATAACCAAAAAGACAGCTTCCTCTCTCCTCAGCTGCCAAGCAGAAGTGGTATTATTTCACCGGAAGGGGTAGATTACCAAAATTTTTCATCTTCTCAACTTCAGTTAAAAAATATAAAGTCTTAATGAATACATCCAAGATATTAGAGACTCCATTCCTCCACCTATCTCCTGCCCACCAATAGAAGATCTCTTCAGATATAACAGGATAGTAATACTGGACCCCAACTCCCCATGTCCAAGCCCGCTCCTAGGACAGAGGACCTCCATTGGGAGAGGCTGTCTAAGAAGAACAGAAGGTAGTGCTACCCACTTGGGAGTGCAGAGAAAAGGAGAGAAAGCAGCAGGAAAAAAAAAAACTTAAGAGATTTTATCCAGGGAGCTCCAGAGATGCGGCTTTAAAGAGAAAGAGGGAAGACCAAGGCTAATAGTATCCTTAAAAGAAATACCTGCTTTTGAGAGCAGCAATGTAAATGAGAACTAGGAGACACTGACAAGAGCGCTCCTGAAATCAGAACAAACTTCAAACATGCTTTTGTTTTGTCTTGTGTTTTTGTTATTTTTCTTTTTTTATTTTAAAGAAAAAATATAAAAAAGAAAAACAGCAAAAGAGACAATATCAACAAAAAACCAAAACAATAACAATATAGGCTTTCAAAATAAGATAGTAGGAATTTAAAAATGATTGCTATATTGCATATTGTTTTCAAAAGAGATGCTAGGATTACCAGATATAAACATGCAAAATTGATCTAATCCTATGTGTACTATCTATTCTTTTCCAAGCAGTACTAAAACTAGTGGTATAATTATCTTAGCTATCTTATGTATATATATGAAAAAATTTATATCTTTTTCCTTTTCCCTTCTTTTCTCCTTTCCCCTATACCAGTTTGAAAAAGCACATCTTTGTTTTCCTCTTTAGGGGCGGGAGGATAACAAAGATGTGCTTTTAAAACTACACCTTGGGATGTGGCACACCACTATAATCCCAAGCACTCCAGAGAATGAGGGAAGATCACTGGGAAATTCAAGGCCAGCCTGGGCTACAAAGTGAATTCAAGGCCAGCCTAAATTGAGTGGTAAAACCCTGACTCAAAAAAACAAATATAAATATATATATGCCCTGTATCAGACTGCTGAGTAGTTGCAGGCCATTGTTGAAAATGACAGAGTAATCATCTCATATTGAGGCTAGTTAATTGCTGGCTATAATACCAAAATGAGGCAGAGGTAAGAGACAGCAAAAGAGAGCCGTGATAAAATTGCTGTCACTTAAACCAGTAGTGAAAGGCTATCTCCTCCAAGGTATAATGCCAATACTTTGCATTTCAGAGGAAATAGAATTTACTAAAATAGTTTAGCCAACTCACAGAACACATAAGCAAGCCAATGACTGTGGAGACCAGAGGAAAGTTGAGGCCTAATTGGCTTAGTCCTTTGTTAATATAACTGCCATCAAGTTGTTTACCCAGGTATATACTAATGGATAATGGAAGGCAAAGAATCATGTGTTACTTTCATTGCTTGTACCCATGTTTGAATGAATAAAAGCAGGCTAGATCAGATGCTTAGGGCTCCTCTGCCTACTAGAGGCAAAAGCCCCCTGGCTGCCCACATACTAAAGTAGCTATGTCTGTTTTTCACCCTCATCATTCCCTGGTCAAGGTGACAAACTAGAAGGACTAGGTCCCTACAAGTAGCACTGTGGGTGGAGAAAGACTGGAGTGGGCTGGTTCTCTACTGCAGACCAGTTTGCTACAAATAACAACAAAAACAACCCTTGATGATGGATGGTTAAGTAGAATTGGTATCCAAAGTTACTACAAAGTGTTGCTAAAATATGTCATAAAATAACTCAGTTTTCAAAAAAATTGTGACACAGAAAAACTGCATGGCTCACACAATGAGGAAATATCAGGCAATAGTGAATTCCTAAAAGAGGTACCAGATTTCAGATATTTTGTACAAAGATACTAAAATATCTGTAACAAATAGTTTAAGTAATTTGAAGTAAATGAAGACATGAGACAGGATCTCAACAAATAGAAAAAAAAGTCCAACAGATAGACAAGTATCCTATAAAAGAATCAAGTGAAAAGTCTAGAGTCAGTATAATAACCAAGGAGAAAAATTCATCAAAGAGAATTAACAGAAGGTGTGAACTGGCAAAAGAAAGAATCAGTGAACTTAAAGACACACTGATAGTGTAAGTCTTCAACCTGGCATGACCTCTCCCAGCCCCTAGCCTGCTTGCCAGCAGAAGCACTATTCTGTAGGGAACTCAGCTCAGCACCTAAGGTTTTCATCCGCAAACACAGGAAAGAAGATAGGACAAGAAAGATCTCAGGTCCTGGAGACATCTGAAGATACTCAAAAACAACAGACTCTTCAAAGGATTTCACCCACTGAGATGCAAGATTGCCAGAAAAATGTAACCACAGATGTTGACTGGGATCTTTCCACTTAACATCCCCTGCCTTCTCTCTATCCCTATAAAAGAGACACATTTCTTTTTGTTCAGGACAAAAAATCTTATTGCACTCCCTGCCTGAACCCAAATTCCATGCCATGTTGCCTTTACACAAGCCCATGGTCTCTGCTGGTTACATATGTTACAGATAGAGATTATGCAGTCTCAATAATGGGAAAAATTAACAGTGTGAGAGAATGCTGGATTTCTTTACATTATCAAATATTTGTATAGTGTGAGTGCTAAAAGGGGAGTAGAAAGTGAAGCAAAAAAATGTATTCTAGAAAAATAATAGTTGAAAATACCTAAATTTTCTGAAAATATTAGTCTACATATTCAAGAAACTCAATAAACCTAAAATACAATAACTGTAAAGAGGGCAAGCCCAGACATATTATAATAGTAAGTCTGAAAAACAAGGAGAAACATTGAAAGCAACAAAAGAAAAATGACGTGCAACAGAGCACCTAATAAAACTAAAGGCTGACTTATTAGAAACAAGGCCAGAATTAAGTGGGGTGACACACTCAAAATGTTAAAAGAAAAATTGTCAACCAACAGGCTCACATCTGTCTTTCAAAAATGAACATGAAATGAAGACATTCGTTTCATAAATAAAACCTGTAAGAATCCATCACTGGTAGATCTGCCTTGCCTATTTAGACATAGTTTTTTGGAGTTCGTACAAACTTGAAATGTAGGTTCTGATATATTATGAGTGCCAGAGCAAGTATAAAGAAAATCAAAATTATATAGTGAAAAAGTAATTAAAATAATTAAGATGTTTTTACGCTAGACAATATTTACTTAATGTAAAAAAGCAATGACAAAGATACAAAATATCAAAGGCATTAGCTAGAAAACAAGTTACAAATACAACTCCAGCTGTGTAAAAAATTACATTAAATATGAATATTAGTCTGTACAAAAAACAGAAATTGTGAGATTGGATGAAAAAATAGATCCAACTCCATGCTATCTAGAAGAGACATAGATTCAAAGGTACAAACATTAAAAATAAAGGATGGAAAAAGAAATATTGTGTGGAAAAAACTGCAAAAATCTGGAATGGTACAGACATCAGACTAAACAGACTTTCAAACAAAAAGTCTTCCTAAAAACAAAGAAATATATTTTTATAATGACAAAAGAGTCAGCTTATCAGGAAGTTAGAACAATTATAAGCACACCTAACAACAGAGCACCAAAGTATGCAAAAGAGAAAAGTACAAAATTTAAAAGAAAAATAGATAAATTTAAAAGTCATGATTGGAAAGAGCAATGCCTTGCTTTCAATAAAGAATAGAACTAGACAAAATATCAACAAACAAAAGATTAGATCAATGCTATACAAAAAAGAGACCTAAAAGTATCTGAACAAACCCAAAGCAACAAAATGTATACTCTTCTCAGCTACACATGGAACATTCTCCAGGATCAGAAATACAGTAACCCCTGGAAATAAGCCTTAATATATTTAAAATACTGAAGGCACAATAAGTTTAGTTTTTTATCACAAAGGAGTAATTAAAAATTAATGGCAAATAAATTTATGGAATTTGAGCAGCAACATGGCATCCAGGTCTAAAAGTAGAGCTGTGGGACCATGGAGGGAGTCAGGCAGCTTATTCTCCCACCCTCTTGGTAAGGGCCTGTGGCATGGGCCAGGAGGAGAACAGAGCTCCCGAGATCCGGCCATGGAGGGACTCAGGCAGCTTATTCACCCGCCCTCTTGGTAAGCACCTGCAGCTTGGGCCTGGAGGAGCACCATTACCTGTGAGCCTACTGCCACGCTGGCTGAAAGGGGTCAAGCACCCTTCCCCCGCCTGCCCCCTCCCCCCATAGCTACTGGGGATAGATGTTTCAGCATCTCTTGGGAGGATGACCATATGCAGTATAGAAAATATGGGGGATTGTTTTCACTGTTTTGTTATATTTCTTTTGCTCTATTCAGTATTCTCAATTGGTTTTATAATGTTCTATTTTTGGTTTGATTTTACTATACCTAATTGACTGGACAACTATTGTGAAGTTAAAGAGATTTAACATAGTACATATTACGACTATCCCAGTATCCTACTGTGAAATCCTGTACCAATTTCACTGCATTGTCTCGATTGGCTTTGTTCTGTCTTGTGCTGTTGCATTTTCACTACTTTCAAAATTAAAAAAAAAAAGTAGAGCTGTGGGGAGAATGCTTCTACGGCAAGAGGAAGAGGCAGAAGATGAAGTGGAAGACAAGAATAGAGACAATGAAGACAGTGATGAAGAAGAAGACAAAGATGAGAAAGTCATTGACAAGAAAGTGTATGTTGAATTTGAAGCTTATTCCATCTCAGATAACTATTATGGAATTAAGAAATTACTACAGCAACTTTTCCTAAAGGTTCCTGTGAATGCTGCAGAACTACCAGATCTCTTAATTCAACAGAACCATGTTGGGAGTGTGATTAAGCAAATGAATGTTTCAGAAGTCAGTGATGATGATGTGGATGAAGATGAGATTTTTAGTTTCATAAGCCTTTTAAATTTAACTGAAAGAAAGGAAAGAACTAGCAGAAGCACACAAAACTAATAAGCCATGTGGGAAATGCTTCCTCCATGTTCTCATTAGTAACATATTTGTGGAAGTAGGAAAAACCAATTCTAAAAAGAATGGAGTAGCCAAAGGAAGGATGAGTTAATGTTAGCAAATGCAGAGGAAGGATTTTTCTAGGAGTTCTTCAAGTATGGCTACTGGCTAGCAGCTAACATAGCACCTAGCACAAAAAGGCAGTTCTGAAATTCAACTGTTCAATGCAAGAGGAGGGTGACACTTGTCTGAAAGGCAGGGAGTCTTTGGATTGATGTACCAATGAAGCTCTTGTGAACTGTGATGTCAATTCCAGGTGACAAGATGAGTGAAATCATGGATAAACTGAAAGAACATCTATGGGTGTAGGCCATTTTCCATGGACAGTGATGGGCTTGTTTTTATAAAACAAAACCCAGTGAAGATTTTTTAAAGCTTATAGCTTTATTCAGATTAAAGTCCTCAACAAAAAGTAGGCTTCTATTCCATGTGTCTGTGACACTTTATAAAATGTCTTTTTAAAACATTTTGGACAAATTATGAATGGTTAATTAAAAACTTCCAATAAAACAAAAAAATGGAATAGGAATTTAAGAACTCAATAAAACTTCTATTTTTTATATTTAAAAAATTGTGATATTCAAAAATTTGTGAATATTAACATACTCCAAAATAACAATGCAAAACAACATCACAAAGGATATTAAGAAATACGTTGAGATGAATGAAAATGAAGACAATGTACCAAACTAATGTGATGCAGCTAAAGGGATGCTTAAAGAAAAGTTACAGTTGTAAATGCCTATGTTTAAGCAAAAAGTTCTCAAATACATCAACAATTTCATACCTTGAGACACTTAACAAAAAACCAATCTAAACCTAAATCTGCCCGGGAGTTAGCAGTGAAAGCACCTACCTGGCAAATTTGAGGTTGAGTTTGATTCCTGGTACCAAAAAATACATAAATAAATGAACCTAAAGCAAATAGAAGAAAAGAAATAATAGAGTACAAATTAATAACATAAGACATATTGAAAACACTAGAGGAAATTAATGAAAGCAAAAATTAGTCCTTAGAAATACCGATAAAACTGACAAAATTTTAACTAGACTGGCCAAGACAAAAAAAACAAAAATTCAGATTATTTAAATGACAAATGAAGAGACCATGACAGAATCTAGAAGTCAAAGTAGTAAACTGTCAGTTTTGCTTTAAAGCAACTAGGGTTAGAATAACTTGTTTAAAATGAAAACTCTGCAATATTCAAGAGGCAGAGGCAGGACACTTTCAATGCCAGCCTGAGTACATAGTAAGTTCAAGGCCAACATGAAATACATAGTGGCCCCTACCCTTCTCCCCCTAAAAAAGAAAAAGAAAAATTCTTCAACGAATGTGAAAATAGACAGACTCCAGAACAACAGGAATAATTTAGCACATATGGTCACTTTTGTTACAGTGAACACATTTATAGGACTACGCCCAGGGATTAGCTCAGTGGTGAATCACCTAACTGGCAAGCCTACCTGGCAAGCAGGAGGTCCTGAGTTCAATTCCTGGTACCCTAAACAAACAAATTAATTAAAATAAAATAGGACTAATGAACAGGGTGTGGTACCTGGTGGTTGTAGTCCCAGCTACTTGGAGGCTGAGGCAACAGGATTGCTTGAGTCCACTGCCATGACCCACACAGTTCCAGTTGTTTTCCCGGGGAAAGGATGGTGAGACAATGAGAAAAAGAGTCAAAAACTGGGGTCAGGTGGAGAACTTCCTCTCCTGATGAGAGGAAAACTGTTCCTTCATCATAGAGGCATTTATTTACACCTTTTAGCAACTAAAGGTCATGTGACATCCCATTGTCCTAACCACCCACTGTTCAGATTGTCTTGAGGCTAGGTGTTCTCTGGGCTGAAGCAACTTCTTCACATGGCTTGCCCTGTGTACTTGCTGTTCTTGAGAGGGCCATGCCCTAACCCTGCATGTGTGGTCAATTTCCAACCCCAACAGCTCCCAACAGTCCACCAGTTCAAACAGCCCAGGCAACAAAAAGGAACCTCTGACTTTAAACGGAAAAAATGTATTGTTTATCAAGCCTTTAGTGATAGTTTCCCCCATTTAATTTAAGCAGTTACCACATGATTGGACTTTCATGTTTTAGAAAAGTTTCAGTCTAAGGCAGTGCACAGATTATGACAGAATTCATAAATGCTTTATGATGATAATGCTGGATGTCTTATCACACTCATGTTTTTGTTGTATTTGGCACTTACACTCACTAAAAATTAAAACACACAGTTAAACAGAAAAGTAAAACATGAATTCTATCTATTGTCATTATCTTAAATATAGTACTAGATATTTTCTGGAATTTTCTTCAGTATGAGATATTGCTAATGCTAATGAGTAATCCATATATAAATTACAAATTTGAAGTATTGAGGAGATTGTTATCATGTTCCCTGACAATAGCTGTTTTTATTTTATTTTTTGCTCGATGCTAGGTCTCTATCCTGCTACCAGTGGAAAGGCCTATGTTAGTGGATATGACGTATCACAGGATATGGACCAAATCAGGAAATCCTTCGGCATGTGTCCCCAGCAGAACCTGTTGTTTGATTACTTGACAGTATCAGAACACCTTTATTTTTATTGTATAGTGAGTCAGAGATGTTTTCCTTTTCCCAGTCTATCCACATTCCAGTAGATTACCAACTATTAATACCTTTATTCTTGTAAAGTTAAGAAATGTATTTTGATGCATTTTTCTTTAAACATAGTGAGAAAGGGAATAAACCACTGCAGAATTGATATAGAAGCTGTTGTAAAATGTCCCTAAGAATAAAGTTGGAGGTATCATGTAAAACTCTGGATCCTTTTTCTAGATCAAAGGAGTGCCTTACAAAATGTGTCTTAAAGAAATTGCTCACATGCTGTCAGTTTTTAAACTGCTAGATAAACAGACTGAATTTTCGAAGTCACTGAGTGGTGGAATGAAGCGCAAACTCTCCCTCATGATAGCACTTATAGGGGGTTCTAAGGTAAGAACAAAAATAAAAAGGAAAGCTAAAAATGCATTCTGCTATACACAATAGCTTGCCTGAAAAAAAGTCACACAAACCTTGAAACTTCTCTGAATCTAACTCTTACGAGTGGCTTCCAACATTAAAGTCAGGCGGGGCGGGTGTGGTGGCAAATGTCTATAGTCCTAGCTCTTGAGAGGCTGAGACAGAAAGATCACTGAGAGTTGGAGGCCAGCTGAAGCTATATAGTGAGTTCAAGGCCACCTTGAATTATATAGCAAGACCCTGTCTCAAAAATTAATTAATTAATTAATTAAACCAAAATAGATGAGATTCATGTTATCAACCTCATTGAAATAAAATGGCCCCAAGTTTGGAATGACTCTAGCATTCTAATTGGAATGACTCTAGCACTCTAATTCAATTTTGTCTAAATTCATCTCTTTGCTTAGTTGACAATTGACTGAAAACAAGTAAAAACCCTATGACTGGTAACACATGACTGATACCAGCATGTGTGGTCATACAATTGTATGGTCATAGAACTATTCTTCTGGCCTTTAGGTGTTGATAATTGATGAGCCAACATCTGACATGGACCCACTCTCCAGAAGGGCCACCTGGGATCTCCTTCAGAATTATAAAAAAGATCGTACCATCCTGCTGACCACCCAATACATGGATGAAGCTGACGTGCTGGGTGACCGCATAGCCATCGTGGTCAAGGGATCCCTGAAGTGCTGTGGTTCTTCAATGTTCCTGAAACGCTTATATGGTATCTCTCCTTTTTATTATCCTTAAGATAGTGATGCCTTAATATTATTTCCCTAATATAATTTTTGTTGTTTTTTAGATACCCTAAACCTCAGTGTGTCTCTGCTCTGTCCATTAGGATTCAACTATAAGCTCTTTAAAATAATGCTTTTTTTTCAAAATTCAAAATTATTTCCTACTTTTATATTTATTGTACTATCCGGTGTCCATATTCATTTCTCCTATATGACTTCTGGTTAAATTTGATCAAGTGCAGTTTTGCCAGTAACAAGGTAGGTAAGTGGATGCCCTTATCTCTGTCGGGCCACTATTTTTTTATTTTATAGGGAAAAAAGGGAAAACAACATTTCATAACAAAATAATAGGAGAATACAAATAGTTAATATATTAAATATTGTTATCTTTAGGATAGTACAAGATATGGGCATAAAAAATTCTCCAAATGCTATTAGCACAAACCTTTGTTTTTTAATGAACTGAGAGAAACTGTTAGTATACCTGCCTTGTATTTTGCTTTGTTTTGTTTGTTTTCCTTTTCCATTTTCTCCTTTCCCTTTTTCCTATCCTGGTTCTTTTTTTCTTTTGAACAGTTTCTTCTTCCCATTTCACAATCTATTACATCTTTTGGACCGTACTCACGTTTTCAGTTTCTCACATCACAGAGAAAATATGTTTACACATGTGATTCTGATTTATTTCATTTATAAATATGGTCTCTGGTTGCATCCATTTACCTATAAAACTTTCAAATTTGTGCTTATTTATGGCTGAGTAGTACTCCATTGTATAAAAAAAGAATATATATTTTTTATCCATTCCTCAGTTGATGGGCATTTGGGTAGTTTCCAAGATTTAGCTATTACAAACTATGCTGCTGTGGTCATGGATGCACAGATATTGCTGTGATATGATGCTTCTAATTCATCCAGAAAGATACCCAGAAGACAAAATATCTGAGTTGAATGGGACCTCTAATCCTAGTTTTCAAGCCTCACTGATTTCCACAGTGGTCGAACCAGTCTTCACTCTTACCAACAGTGGATAAGAGTTCCTATTTTCCCACCGCCCCTCCAGTATTTGATATTGGTTGATTTCCTGATGACAACCATGCTCTCTAGGATGAGCTAGAATCTATGTTGTTCTCATTTGAATCACTTGAATGACCAGTGATGTTGAACATTTTTTCACATACTTGCCACTTGTATTGCTTCATCAGAGAAGTGTGCATTGAACTCAGAGGCCCATTTTGGATTGGGTCTTTGATTTTGAGGGTCTGATTTTTTTTAATTCTTTATATGTTCTAGATATAAGACCTATGTCTGAGGAACAACTGGCTAAACTTTTGTTCCACTCTGTGAGTTATCTTTTCGCTATTTTGGTGATTTCTTTTGATATGTAAAAGCTTTGTAATGAGATCCCAGTATTTCCTGTGCAGTCTCAGTTTTGTTCATGAACTCTCTGCCTACACATATATCTTCAATATTTCTACCTACTTTCTCTTCCAGTAGATTTAGTGTTTCCATCTTAATGTTTAGATCTTTGACCATTTTTTACTTCAGTTTAGTGCATGGTGATAAACATGAGTCTCATTGTAGTGTTCAGCACATGGAAACCCAGTTTTTTCATTACCATTTATTAAAGAGGCTATCTTTCTTCCTATGGCCTCTTTGTCAAGATAAGGTGACTGAGTGTGTTTTGAGTTGTGTCTGCATCTTCTAATTTGTTCCACTGATTCTCGTCTCTTTTTTTGCCAGTACAATGCTGATTTTATCACAGTAGCTTTAGAGTATAATTTCAAATTAGAGATTGTGATGCTACTTGCCTTGTCTTTGTTGCCCAGAATTGATTTTGCTATTCTAGATCCTTCCTGATTCCAAATGAATTTTAGGAATTTTCTTCTCTAGTTCTGTGAGAAATGCTAATGGTATTTTGATCAGAATTGCATTAAATCTATGTAACAATTTTGGGAGTGTATAGGGTACTGTTATAGAAGAAAGAGTCAATAGAATCAGTTTTAGAACCAATTTTGGAATATGTTACAGCTTTGTTTATAGTCTCCTTATCATCATCATCTAATGTTTTAGGAGTAGGACCAGAATTTTGCTATTAAAAGACTCAGAAAGAAAAAAAGAGAGAGGCTCAGTTCAATGGACAAACAAGACAATGGAGATCTCTTTAAGCTGCATTCCAGTTGCTAGTTCCTCTTTGGTCTCTGTCCCTACAGTCTGTTTTCTCTACCTTCCTAGATTTCCATCTACCCTGTTGTTCTCTCCCAAGTCCTCAAAGGCCCATTGTCAGGTGAAGGACTGACATACCCAGAAGTATTTCCCTGAGCTCCACTGTCTGGGTCTAAACTCTCAGAATGCCATCATAAGGTTTTCCAGGAAGGCCCCAAAGGAGTTTTCCTTCATTTACCCTATCCCTAGTTTCCAATGCACCTAGTACAGTCAGATCTTTAAATGAAGAGGTTTTTATCTGCTTTATTAACTCCCTGGCTTATAATATGCAGCAAATGAATAATGGCTTAATGAATATTAATCTTGTCCTCTTAGACGTCAGTGTCAATAAGAAGGAAAGTAAAAAAAAAAAAAACAAAAAAAAACAAGCTCCTTATCCTATCTCTGCTTTGTGTAGCTACATAATCCCTATCATTGTTAGTTCCCAAGAAAACCAAATAAGTTATTTTAAAATGTTCAGTAGGCCCCTTAGTCAAATGATCTGTGATATGCTCTGTCTTCTAGCTCATCCAAACCATGAAAAGCCAAGTATATTCTTACAAGAATATGAGAAGTACAAAATTGTTGTCTGTTCCCCTAAACGAATTTTTCTCAGGTGTGGGATACCACATAGTCCTGGTAAAGGCACCTCACTGTGATGTTGAAGAAATCTCAAAACTGATTCATTATTATGCACCAAAAGCCATTTTGGAGAGCAATGTTGGAACTGAGTTATCATTTATTCTACCCAAAGAGTACACTGACAGGTACGGATTTAGAGAATACCGAATGGTTGGTTTTTAGATAACTACAAATGATTAATGCTTTTCCTGGTTTCTTCAGGAAATAAGAGTTTATTTAAGAAGACAAAACTCCTCTTGTTGCTGTCATTTGCACCAAAGTGAGATGTCATCTAAATGGCTGTACATTCTTGGGGCTACTCTATAAAAATGAGTGATATGTTGTTGGTAGACTAAAAATTACTCCTAATGAGTGGGGTAAAAAGAAATATTAAAATAATGAGAAACAAATAAGGTGGCATAAATGAATAGTTTTTGGAGTCAGGTTAACAAGAAGTCAGTGGAAATAGGCAGTTGAAATGTATCAGTTAGCAAAGTTATTAATTAAAGTCATAATGAGTAATAATTTTATCTTAGATAACTATCATAAAAAGAGAAATGGCAATTAAGAATATTCATCAGTGACTTTTCAGGGTCTTATTTCTCCGGGGGTTTTGCTGTTGTAGTTGTTTATTTGTTTTGTTTTGTTTTATACCAGGAATCAAACTCAGGACCCTGCGCTTACCAGGCAGGTGCTTGTGCTGCTGAGCTATATCCCCAGTCATAGGGTCTGATTTTTTATCTTCTTGTCATATTCAGTAAAATATTTGCTTTGGTATTCCCTAAATTTAAGCCATTTATAACATCTGTAAAGAATATGAAAGACTTCTAATTTCTCCTTTTCCAGGAAAAGAAGTATTCTGTAGGATTTTATTTTATTTATTCAGTAAGTTGAAGAGTTCTTGAGAAGCAGGAGTATAGAACAGGCAGATAGTAGAACCAAGACCCTAGCCCTATGATTTCAAACTTTTTAGAGTTTCAATATGTTTCAATAACATATGGCCTGCTGTGGCACACATGCCATAGGTCCACCACCATTGCACTGGAGTAAAAGAATGAAACATAATAGAGAATTTGAAATAAAATTTTTTCTAGATATGTATCACTAGAGATACTTGGTAGTTGTCTTGTTCACCAAAAGTGGTAATGATGATTCAGCTGGAGCTACGGAATCTGTCTTAATGAGACACACAGATAAAGCACCTGCTGAAACTTAGCACAGGTCTGGGAATTTAGCTCAGTGGCCCAGTGCCTGCCTGGCAACATCCTGAGCTGGATTCCAACTACAAAAAAAGAAAGGAAGAAAGAAAGAAAGAAAGAAAGACAGACAGAAAGAAAGACAGACAGAAAGAAAGGAAAAGACACATAGCACAGTGTGTGCCTATCCTGATTCAATTGACATCATCAGAAGACATAATAAACATCATATTAAGATTATATCTAAAACAGACTATGAAACCAACTGATATTTTATCATATCTTAATCATCTGGACTTGGAAGAGAGAAGTAGGAAGATGCCCCAAGAAGTAAATAGCTCATTGTACTTTTCAGTACCATAAATCCAAGTATAGAGTGACCAGTTCAGGCAGAATAAAATGAAAATCATCAATTTAGGGAAGAATATGTTTCCTCATAATAAAGTTTTCTCTAACCTAGAGAGTTTTAAACTAAGAAATTGAAAGAAAAATTATAAGAAAAATATATACCTATGGATCCAGTTACTTCAGAATATTAAAAATTATTATTTTTAGTAATTCCAGTCCAACTACAATTTTGATAACAACAGTAATTGAGGATTCATCATCTTCAAGATACTGTTCTAATTTCTATTTGCCTGAATAACAGAGAAAAAGAATACAATATATCACATAAGAAAAGTAACTTTGAAATTTTAAAAATGTTGTAACACACTATAAAAGAATGCTGATACTTGTTAGCATGAAACTTATATTCATAATACGACTGTAAAATTATATGCAAAACTTCAAAAGAGTAGACATGTATGATAGGTGTCAGATTTGTAGCACAAAGCAGAGAACATTTGTATTTTTAAAGTTCTTGAATTCAAAGGTAGAAATGTATAGAAAAACCAGTGGAGGCAGGAGGAGGAGAAAGCAGCAAGTCATAAATAATTCTGTGAAACTCCTGCAAACTAAAAGGAGATGCATAACATATTCCTGATACAAGATTTAAGCAAGACTATATAGCAAAGAGAAAACTTCAAATATAGAATTATAACTAGCAATTACACTTCCTAGGAAGATGGAAAAAAGTTAAATTATCCCTATTTGCAATTGACACTTACAATTGACATGATCTTATACAGAGAAAAGCTTAAAGATGCCACAAGTGTTTGGATTAACACAGGAATTCAGAAAATTTTCAGGTTGCAAAATCATCATACAAAATTCCATAGTCATTGAGTTGTTTGCATTTTTTACATATTTTGGGTAGTAACATTGTGTCAGAATCATTTTGGTAAATATTTTCTGTCATTCTGTAAGTTGTCTTTTCAGTATTTATTTTCCTGTGCAGGACTTTCTTAGTTTGATTTAATCTCTTTTAATTATGCTTTAGTTGTCTATACTTTTGTGTGTGTGTGTGTGTCCTCAGGATTGAACTCATCATCTTGCACTTGCCAGGCAGGCACTTGTTCCGCTGAGCTAAACCCTCAGCCCCTGCCTATTCCTTTTGTTGTTGTAATTGTCGTTCTTAATGTTTAAAATTTTTTTAAAAAGCAAAACAGAAAAAAAGGATAGAAATGATACAGATTTTTTTAAAGTAGGGAATTAACACCAGTTAAAATATTGCACATTGTTGTCTTAGAAGTTGGTCTTGCTTTTTAAAAAACTCCTTACCTAGATTCATGTTATGAAGTGTTTTCCTTATATTTTCTTTTAGTAATCCCATAGTTTTGGGTCTTCAAATTCTTTTTCCATTTTAAGTTAGTTTTTGTAGTTGGTGAGAGATAGGGATTTACTTTCATTCTTTTTCATGAGGATATCCAGTTTTCAAACATCTCAATAGCAAGTATGATAATCCAATTAAAATGGACAAAATATTAAGCACACATTTCCAAAAGAACATACATAAATGACCAATAGGTATATGAAAAATGTGAAGTATCACTGATCATTGAGGAATATAACTCAAAACCCAATGAGATGTCAACTTAATAGTTATCAGAATGATTTAATAAGAAATAAAAGATTCTGACAGGCTGTTGAGAAAGAAGAATTCCAATGCCCTGTAACTAAGAATAGAATTACTGTGTGTTCTAGCAACCCCATTACTAACAATATTGCCAAGGAAAATGAATGTAATATGTCAAAGAGTTACTTGCACTCCCATGTTTACAGCACCACCTAGCTGAGATATGGAATCAACATAAGTGTGCACTAACAGATGAATGAATTTTTAACAGTTTTATAGTTGTAAGTAGAATACTATTTGCCCATAAAAACATGGAATTCTGTCATTTGCAGCAACATGATGAGCCTAGTAGACATGTTCAATGAAATAAACAGGAAAAGAAAGATAAATACCACATGATCTCACTGATTTGTAGAATCTAAGTTAATCTCATAGAAGTAGAGAGTAGAATGAGGATTATCAGAGGCTAGAAAAGGCAGAGAGGAAGGGGAGGTTTGAAAAGAAGTTGGGCAGATATGAGATTGCAGATAGTAAGAATAAGTTTTTAGTGTCCTATAGGGCTGTAAGTGACTATATTTAGCAATAATATATTGTGTATTTAAAAAATGGTTACATTTTTATTTTTTCATCATAATATTTGAGGTAATAGATATATTAACTACCCAAATTTGATCACCATATACAGTATACATGTCTTTTTTTTTTTTTTGTCTTTTTGCTTTTTAACGGTACCGGGGAAGTATACATGTCTTAAAACATGACACTGTATCCTATAAATATATACAACTATTGCATTTTTAATTTTAAATTGCATTTTTAAAAAACCATAAAATCAGTAGCATTTCTATATGGTACAGCCTGTTAAAAAGAAAACATGAAAAAATTTCATTTATACTAACTACCCAAAAATAAAATAGGTATAAATATAAACAAAGATATTAAAAACTATGCACTGAAAACTATAAAACACTGATGAAAAATTTAGGAAGACACAAATAAATGGACAGGTATTCCATGTTCATGGATTGCAAAAATACTCTAAAAATGTCAAAATTACTCAAAGCAACTTACAGATTCCGTTCAATGCCTATCAAAATACAACATTCTTCACAGAAGTTAAAAACTTAAATTTTGGGCTGGGGATTTAGCTCAGCGGCATGAGCGCCTGCCTTGCAAGCAGGCAGTCATGAGTTTGATCCCCGGTACCAATAAAAAGGAAAAAGACAAAAAAAAAAAAACCTTAAATTTTATGAAACTGTAGAATAACTCACATAACTAAAGTAGCAGTTCTGGAAGCTTAATGCCACCTGACTTCATGATATACTATAAAATTTAGTAAACAAAAGAGAAAAATATAGCTAACAACAACACATATATAAACGAAACAGAAACAAACCCATGAATTTATAGACATCTGATTTTCAACAAAGGCATAAAAACATAGTGGGCAAAGGTCAGTCTCAGGAAAGGGTGTAAAAACTAAGTATCCAAATGCAGAAGAATGAAATTAGACTATCTCACACCATATTAAAAACAGCAACACAGAATGGATTAGTGATTTAAACATAAAATCCAAATCTACAAAAGTAATAGAACAAACAAAGGATAAGATCTGACATTTGTCTGGTCAATGTTTTTTTTTTAAATTAGCTCAAAAGGACAGAAAACAAAAGAAAAATACACAAATAGTTTTCATCAAACTAAAAAGCCTCTCTACAGCAAATTAAAATGACAATTTACAGAGTTGGATAAAATATTTGCCAACTATACATATGATTAGGAGTTGATGTCCAAAATATATCAAGAACTCAAAAGGACCAGGGATATAGCTCAGCGACACAGCACCTGCCTGGCAAGTGTGAGGCTCTAAATTTGATTCCTGGAACCGAAAAAGAAAATAGCAAGAAATAAGCCAGACAGAAGACCTAAAGAAGACATAAATGGCCAATAGATATATTTTTAAAAAATGCTCAGATCACGCATCATCAGGAAAATGCCAATTAAAAACTATAATGAGTCTATGTTGCTGCACTCCTGTTAACTTATCAAAGAGACAAAAGACAAATGTTGGCAAAAAAGTGAAAAAAGGAAACTCTTGCACACTGTGAACCAAGAATGCAAATTAGTGCAGCTATTGTGGAAAACATGGCATTTCCTCAAAAAAAAAGGAAAAACAGAATTAGCATGTGATTCATCAATACTCCTTAATATACTTTTAAAGGAAAGGAAATCAGTATGTTGAAGAGACATCTATATGTTTATTGTAGCACTGTTGACAGAACCAAAATAACAGAATCAACCTGAGTACCCGTAGAAAGATGAATGGATAGAAAAAAGAGTGCTCTGTGAATACTAGCCAGCAATAAAAGAAGAGAAAACCTGTCATTTGTAGCAACATGGATGATTTATGGATATAATGTTGAATGAAATAAGCAAGGCATAGAAAAGTACTACAGGATTTCACTCATATCTGTAGTCAAAAAGCACTAATCGCATGGAAGTAGATACAGTGGTTATTAGAGGCTAGAACCTTTGGGGTTGGTAGATTAGGAAGATGTTGGTTAAAGATCCAAAATTGAAGTTAGAAAAAATAAATTCTGTTGTACAGCTTTGGGACCATAATTAAGGATAACAGATTCTTGAAAATACTGAGAGACTGGATATTAAATGTGGATATTAGAAATGACAACTATATGAGGTGATATGTTAAGTTGAATCTTTCAGCAATGTATGTATGTCAAAATATTATGTGTAGATGATAAATATGCCCAGTTTTTCTATCAATTAAAAAATTTAAAGTTTGAAACCATGCCTTCCTGGGAGCCAGGAGCAGCCTCTAAGGGGGAACAGGAAGAGAATCAGAAAGCCAAACCTCGGCCTTTCTGTGAGCCAGCTGGTACCTGGGCTGGGAGACAATAAGAGCACCACCCACCCTCACCCCACCCCATCCACGTAAGCAATGGACTGATTCAGAGGAAGTTAGACTGATAGAAACTGAAAATAAATAAATAAATAAATGTTTGTTTGTATTGTTTGATTGACTTTGCAGGCCTAAAGCTGGTAATCTGAGCATCTATTTGGAGAAAAACAATATGCATTATAGCAACTGTGGGGGAGTTTCCATCTTGTTTTTGAAGTCCAGTGTTTTGTTGTGCTTTACAGTTTAGTTTTATTCCTATATCTGGTAACCTGCACAACTACTGTGAAGATAACAATATGCAATATAACAACCATTGTTAAATTCCTATCATTTTGGTTTGAAAACCTATATAATAATCTTGTTATTGTCATTTTTCTTTTTTTTTTTTGTTTGCATCTTGATTTTTCTGTTATTTCTTTTTTCTCTTTAAAATAAATTTTTTTCACTAAAATAAAATAAAAGTTTGTATCCAGGCATAGGTGTCTACACTTGTAATCCTAACACTCTGGAAGACTAAAATAGAAAGATTTCAAGTTTGTACTCAGCCTGGGAAATTTAGCAAGACCCTAATTAAAATTTTAAAAGGTGGAAAATGCTGTGGATGCAACAAATGAAAATATAAAATGCATTTATTTTACCTTTTTACGAATAGTAAGATGACTTGTAGGGTTAGAAAGATGAAATAATATTAAATCAATCAAATTAAAAGATTAAATCAAATAGTGATAAAAAACAGTCTCGAATCAAACATTGGCCTATTGGTCTCCAAAGCATTTCCATTTGTTGTATAGTGTTAGGAAATTGTAGGTATGCCAACCTCATCCTAATTTTAAACTTTATGAATTGGTACCAGTGGTGCCAAGTTTAATCCTTGGGTGGGGAGTAGCTAGAATGAAAAGAAAAATCATTGAATGTGATAGAATCAAACCTCACTATTAGAATTTCTTCTTAATGTTCTACATTATTGTAGCAATCTGCTTTCATAAAGATGGAAGATAAGAATGAAGTGTAGAAAACAGCCTGAATTGTGAAAGATTAGGACTTTAGTAGTCGTAGTAGTAGTAGAAGAATGCCAACTCTGAAAAGAAATAAACTGTAAAAACTAAAAAATTTCAAAGCATTTTGCTTTACAGTATCAAAGATGTTATGCATCTTACACCAAGCGGTTTTGAAGAAGAAAAACTGAAAAATGACATAAAATTCATAATAGTCTAATGAAAATCTGACCAAATTATTGTAGAAAATAGTAGAATGCCCAAGTGTTTTACAAAGCAGTTTTATGGGTTCATACTTTTTGTTAGCTATGAGATTCAGTTGCTGCATTCATGTCATACGTAATCCATTCTAGTAGGTATGTAACTGTGTTATATTGTTCTCTTATTCTTTGCAGTTTTTCTGGAAAGAATCTTCTCTTTTGTTAAACATTATGTAAGAAACAAAAATTACAATGTGAAAACATTAGCATGTCAACAGTGATTGTGGGGATAGTACTATGATTTTTACTTTATAAATTTGTTTTTTTAAATTTGTGCCAATTATGTATTAATTTAATGACTAAATTTATAGAAAAAGAAAATGTGGATGAATTCTTGCTTAAAACATCTGTGCTGAGAATAAAGAGGTAAGGTATAAGAGAAAATGAATGTGAAAGGCTGTTTCTAAAAAGGTAGATTATTTCTGTACTGTATAATCTCAGGTGTAAAATTATAACTAATGTAAAATAATAGACAGAATTTTAACCTTAAGTATAGAGGAAATGTTACCTTGTTTTCCAGAAAGAGAATTTTTAAGTACCCTCAACACTAAAAGTGTGCAAAAATAAATTCATTTGCCACTCTGCAAAGATAAATTTATTTGCCACTTGGAATGTGATGGGGATGGTTTTGAAGTTCCTGGAAAAGATAGTCTTTTGCAAACAATGTACCATAAGAAATTCCCCATAAAACTGTTGATTAAAGGTCTTGATGTTTCTATACCCTGCAGTTCCAATAATGTATTTTCCATTTCTATAGTTTAATTATTTCAGCTTTCATAGATTTTCCTAGATTATCTTGAGCTTGTCTCTGTAAGTTTTTTTGCATTTTATTTTCTGGTTTTGAGTACCTTTATTTCTTGCTAAATAAAATTTTCTTTCTTTTCTATTTACTGAATAATAAGAATCATAAGTATACATGATAAGTAAGTTCATTTCAACTAGCTAGAGTTATTAACATATAAAGAGTCTTTTGGTGGTTTTGTTAGAAGACCAAAGTTCTATGTATTCAAGAGCAAAGGAGAACCAGACATAGTGGTGCACACCCATAATTTCCAACACATGGGAGGCTGAGACAGGAGGATCACTGCATAGTCAAGGCCAGCCTGGGCTATGAAGTGAGCTCAAGGCCAGCCTGAACTGCATAATGAAACCTTGTCTCAATTCTTCAACCCCCTTAAAAAACAAATTAGAGCAGGAAACAGTTTGCTATGGCAGTTTGCTAGCTGATTTCTTTTCATTAGTCTCACTTTTCTGATTTATTACAGACAAGGAATTATAGTTAAGCACTGAAGTGAAAAATAATCTACATTTTCCCCACTGCTGAGGGGAAATTAGAATAAAAAGATATAAATAAGAAAAAAGTTTAATTTTCTTTTCTTTTCCAACATGTAGGTTTGAAGAACTGTTTACTACTCTGGAAAAGAGACAGGAAGAACTGGGCATTAATGACTTTGGGGCCTCTGTCACTACCATGGAAGAAGTCTTCCTTAAGTGAGTAAGAACATAGCTAAAAGAAAACCTGAAGGAAAAGGATAAAGTCTCAGTTTTCACTGTAAACTCTTCAAACTTTGAAATTTCACACATTATAAAATCAAGGGTGGCAAGGGTTGAGGTAGGATAGCATACTTACTGTGTTGCTTCCAAATAATTCTGTCAGGCAGTGAGCAAACCCAGGAGCCTTTCAAAGCTGGGAGCTGTGAATCACATTCTTCAAACCAGGTAAAATGGGATAAAGTTAAAACAAAGTTTTGCATTTTTTTAAATTTAGGGTCACTCATATGGATTCACAAACAAATATCGAAGCTCACCGATCTCTGTCACAAAGACGCAAAGTCCTCTCTACGAGGCACAATATTAATATGTCAAGTAATGTTGGAAGAGCACATTCTCTGAATGAAAATACTACTGTGTTTAATACTGGGGTAAGAACCTTTATTAGAAGTTTGTTGTATATTTAGTTGGGATGCAAAAAGTACCTTTTGTTTTAATATAGAGTGTAGAATTCTCAGCCATTGAAGGACCAATAGATGTGGAACAGTCTGTACCATAACCTAATTAATATTCAATGCAGAAATGATAGACTGCAGAAAAATATATCAGCTGGATACTTGTGTCACTACTGTTCCTCAATTCTTTTTTTTCTGATTTAAATTTTTTTCAAAATGGTAATCCAGGAATTTGTTGTTTCATGGAAGCTTAAATAAGAGTACTAGTGAGCCTTGTTTTTAAATAATGAACCTTGTACAAGTACTTTATGTATTTTAAGTTTTGCAAGGGAAATTATTACTTTGTTAGAAGTCATTCCATAATCAGAATGATCCTCAGCTTGGGAGATCTCTTTGAGTTTCCAAACATTTCTTTCGCTGTTCTTGTATGTCTGTTCCATCTGTAAAGCACTGTGGTATTCATGGCTATCAAGCATCTGAGAAAGATAATTCTGAGGTGTTTAACCTTAAGCATTTTATTGATATATTGTAGCAGAAGTCAACAAATTCAGTGTAAAGGAGTAACAAATGTTGAAAACTTTAAGGGCCACATGGTTTCTTTCACAATTACTGGACTCTGTCATTGCACCATGAAGGCAACCATGGCACTATAGGAAAGTATATGCACAGCTGTGTTCCACTGTTACCAATACAAGCCATAGTTTGCTGTCTCAGGTTATATTATTGCATACTATCATACTAATCTTTGGTTCCATTCAAGTGTTTATGCATAAACGTCCATGTTTGCACCAAGATTTTATGTCATAAAACTTCTGTGTGTTTATAGCATAAAATTTCAAAGCATTCAGGCTGGGGCTATAGTTCAGTGGCACAGTGACTGCCTGGCAAACATGAGGTCCTGAGTTTGACTCCCCCCAAAAAATGTTTTTAAACCATTCATCTTAATGAATTTCAACATTATTTTAGATGTATGCCTATTTTAATATTTCCCTCTTCTTTCTCTAGTGTTCCCTCTACCGTCAGCAATTCTATGCAATGTTCCTAAAGAAGCTGTTGTTCACCTGGCGCAACTGGAAGCTGATTTTGTTACAGATTCTTGGACTTTTAGTCCCCACTGTCCTTCTCTTCCGAAATTATGACCTTCAAATAACTAATGAAAAGACATCCAGGCAAATGAATTTGAGTGAATATGGCCAAACTATTGTGCCTTACTCTATTTCTGGGAATTCTGATTTAACTACAAGTTTCTTAAAACACCTTGAGAGTATGGTAACATCTGAAAACCACATACTGAGGGAAGTACAAGGTAAGGGGAAAAAAGGTGACTGCTCTTAGATTTTGTCTACGTCCCTTCTTTGAAAGTGGCATCTTAACTGTAATGTTAATTACTTGCCCCATTCTGTTCCTGCTAGTCGTGGAGTAAGACTCAAAAATGTCCTTGTTACAGCGACTGGTGTCAGGAAGTTGTCAGCTGACGTTCTATGGCTATGGGCTGTCCATGAGTCCTTTTCTATTCTCTTCTAGTAAAAATACTGAAGATGCCAAACTACATCTTACTACGCAATTAATCACTCCATTTATTTAAAACTTCTTTGATTTCTTTTATCAGTGTTGTGTACTTTTCAGCAAACAAGTTCTATGTATATTTTGTTAAATTAACACCTAAAGTCCTGAGGGTGGGGCTCAATGGTAGAATATTTACCTAGCATGCATTCCATCATGGGGTTGATCCCCAGTATCATACACACACACACACACACACACACACACACACACACACACACACACAAAATTAAATTAAAATTCAAATTACTTAAAACTAAATATTTTTTGAATGAATATAAATGCTCCTATATTTTAAAACTTGGTGTCAAGCCATAGTGATACATACCTGTAGTTCCAGCACCTGGGAGGCTGAGACAAAAGGACTGAGCATTTGAAGCCTATCTTGGCCTATGCAAAGATTTCATAACAGCCTGGGATACATAGCAAGACAACTGTGTCCATTTGTTTTAGCATATTACAGTACATTTTATTATAACAGCATGTATTAACTGTTTAAGTTAGTAGGATTCATTAAAATATTAAAATAAAATTTTCATTCCTCTGTACTTACCTTGTATCCTATAAACCTGATAAACTCATTTGTTAGTTGTACAAGCTTTATTTTTAAATTTTTTTTATTTTTGGTACCAGGGATTGAACTGACAACTGCACACTTGCAAGGCAAGTGCTTATGCCATTGAGCTAAATCCTCAGCCCAATTGTAGAAGCTTTTATTTGCTTCCTTGGAGTTATCTACATTATAGAATCATGTTATTTGCTAATAACAGCAGTTCAATTTTTCCTTTATAAACTATATCTTTTTTCTATTTATTTTTTTATCTCACTAGATAGAATTTCCATTGCTATATTTATTCGATGATGAAAGAGGACATTTTTCCTTGTTCCAAACTTAAGGAGAAAATATTAAATCTTTATTACATATTTAAAATTTAGAAAAGTTCTGCATCACTCCTATTTTTCTTAGTTTTTTTTATCATGGATAGATGTTAACTCAAGTTTTTCTAAAAATTTATATAACCAGTTTTTCTTTGTTAGTTAGTTTATCAATATGGTGGATGACATTTATTTCACACAATGAATCAATCAACTTTGTATTGCTGGGATAGACGCCACTTGTCATGGTATAATTTTTTATGTGTTGCTGAATTTTACTTGCCAATATTTTGTTAATAAGTTTCATATCTATAGTCATAAGAGACATTGGTCTGTAGATTTCTTTTATTATACTTTATTTGTGTGGCCTTGTTATAAAGGTAATATTAGCTTCAAAAATGAATTGTGAAATATTATATTTTCTATTTCCTAGAATAACTAGTGCATAATAATATTTCCTGGGACAATAATTTATATAATTAGTGTTTAGTGTTGTTTACACATTTGATAGAATTCTGTAGTGAAAGCATCTGGATCTAGAAATTTCTTTTTTGGAAAACTTTTAAAATTATATTTCTTTTTCTCAATTTTTATTTTAAAGAGAATAAAATCAAATAAAATGAAACAGAATAAAGCCAACCAGAACAGAACAAAGAAAGTGATACAGGACTTCAAAACAAAATAATAGGAAATCAACAATGGCCACCATAATGTTTCGTTTTCTTCAAAGTAGCTATTCATACCATCACACATAATAAATTAAACAAAACTAAACAGAATAAAACCAATAAAAACAAAAAAGAAACCATATATTAAAGAGAATAAAACCAAACAAAATGAAACAGAATAAATCCAATCAAAACAAATCAGAGAAAATGATACAAGTCTTCAAAACAGGCTATTAGGAAATAAACAGTGGCTATCATAATGCCTCTTGTTGTCTTCAAAATTGTCACTCACACCATCAAACATAACAAAATCAAACAAAACAAAACAGAATGAAGCCAATCAAAACAATATTGAGTAAAACAAAACAATGAAACAATGAGAACAATATTGGATTTCAAAAACAAAACAGAAGGAAATCCCCTATATTTGCTACACTGCACAGTTATCCTCTCAATAGATACTCAGGCCTGCAAAGTCAATCAAACAAAGAAGCATTAAGTTGCGTTGGTACCTCAGATGCTATCAACTCAGCCTGTCCTCTGAGTCAGCCTTTGGCTTGTTTCTCCTCCTGAGACTCAATGGCTTCACCAAGTCCCAGGAAGGGCAAATGGGCTTCTCCAAAATTGAATCTCTTTAGTCAAATGATTAAGAAATAGAAATAAAGAGAGAATACTAACAATTTATTTAGGGGAAGTGGATCACATAATCATGTAGACTGAAAGGTCCTGCAGTGTGCTATCTGAAACCTCAAAACGAAGGAAAGAGTATAATTCACTATGGGTCTGAAGGCCTGAGAATCAGGAGAGCCACTAGTATAAATTCTGGAGACAGAAGTCTGACAACCAGGAGTGCTAATGACTAGAGGCAGGAGAAAGTAGATGAATGAGTGCAAGAAGAGAGAGAAAATTCACCCTTCTCCAGCGCTTTTGTTCTGTTGGGCCTGTCAGTGGATTGGGTGATGGCTAACCATACTGGTGTCAATCTCAGATTCAAATGCTCATCTATTCTTGAAGCATCCTCACAAGCACGCTTAGATTACATTTTATCATCTATGTGGGCATTCCTTAACCCAGTCAAGTGACACTCGAAATTAATCATCACATATGATTAGGAATTCGTAGGATCCCTTTATTAACCTTACTATTTTTTAATCCACTTGACTTCCAGTTATACTTATTTGTGTTCAGTCTATTATGAAGTATATATTTAATCAATGCTTGATTATTTCTGTGTACTTCAGTTCTCTGGTAAATTCTCTATCTCACTGCCTACTTCCACATGGATTTGTTTTGATTGTCTGTGCTTCTGTTAGTTCTTTTTTTTAAATCATATCTGATAATGTTGTAATTCAATGCCATATGTAGTGAATGAAAATCACAAAGACTCCAGATGAGTTCATGTTCTCCAGAGGAGGTTAAATTTAACTTTGGCAAGCAGTAAGATTAATTGGAGATCTAAATGCAATCAGGAATTGAAGTTATTTGAGGAAGTTCAGATTTTTTTAATAAGAATTAATTCGCTGGGATGGTGATTGGGATGCTGCTTGAGTCTCCTGTGGCCTAAGGTATTTTGGCATTAGGTTTCTTTTATGATATGAGCTACAAATTTAGGAAACCTTTTAAATTTGGGAAACGTTGAGCGTCTACCTAAGCAGGAATTGTGAAGTGACTGAGATGAGATGGAAGAGACAGAAATATGGGGCAATGGTGTCTGTGAACAGTCTCCTGGTGCCCTGTTTTCCCTGACTCTATCTACCTGCCTCTGGGCAGAAGTGGCTCTGTCCACCTGTCTGCAGTTGCCTGGTTGCAGATCTCTCCCCAACAGTGGCATCACATGTACACTTCCCAACACCTTTTATGGCTGTGTTAAGGTGAATTTGTACAGAAAGAGTCATAAGCAGGTCTAACCTTTTAAAAATATTTCTGCTGCGAACCCTGGGCCTTGGTATATTTCCAGAGATGGATTATTCAAAATATTACTCTGAAAGTACCCACTTCCTACCGACACCAAAAAAATAAAAATAAAATCAGACTAATAAATTATTTGGCTTTATTTTGACCTGAAGTATGGCAGAATAAGGAACTGTCCCCCACACTGTACCCTAAAAACAGGCGCTCTACGAGAACTATAATACCTACTTTACATACCTGTATTTTACTTAATAGTCACAAAAATCCATATGAGGTAAGAACCTTTTTAGCCACAAGTTAATATGTCTAGTGTATTGTCATACATCAGAACCTAGATTTATAATTTATGTCTCTTCAGAATTAAAGTTTATTCAGGTGCTTGTCCCACTTTGATGTGAATTTAGCCAGACAATAGATAATCATACTACTTGCTTTAACATTTAAGTATAAGTTAAGATTTTGCAAATTCAGATATTTTTCTTCCAAACATATCAAGCTGTTTTGTGGTTTTTTTTTTTTTCCCTAATTTTGAAACTAACAGATAACTAGTTCTTTGATTTATCTGGGGAGGAAAAAGCCTAGACAAGGCCTACCTGATAAAGACTGAACTACCGCCCCTACCCCCACCCCATGTAATTCTAGGGTCTTTTCTCCATCTGTGTCATTTGTGGTTATTATCCTGTTGTGAAAAATGGAATCTTTCTATTACAGTTCACTCCAGGTACAGTTTGGAGATGTTTTTTCTGCTGTGCACATTAGATATTCAACTATGCATTTTTCCCATTATCATCAAGCATTCTGGTTAGATACTTGACATGCAGAGAACTACAAGAACCCGTAGTCATTGTTAGAAGATAACACCTATGAAAGGATATTTAGTATAAATCTAACTATTTAGTATAATGCTACTATGTCTTGGCTCCTTCTTTATGTTTTGATCATTTAAGATGCTTTCAGAAACCTTGCAGTCTATGTTTGGAGGAAGACATAAATAAACAACATAACAAGATTTAACTTGCCAAGTGTAATAGTGCACACCTGTGAGCCCAGCATTCAGGAGGCTGAGGCAGGAGGATAATTTCAAGTTTGGGGCCAGCATGAGCTACAAAATGAATTCAAAGCCAGCCTGAATGCACAGTGTAACCTGTCTCAAGGAGACAAAAAGAATTTATTTCTTTCTCAGTAGGCTATAAAACAAAGATTTACTAAGGTACTTCCACAGTTTACAAATATAAACATTATCAAGGGAAAAAAGGTTATAGAATATTGGAATCACCTCAGCAAATTTTCTTCATTCTTCCCAGAGTTTTGATCCTCAAATTTTTGATTTTCTAAGTCTCTAAAACCCTCAAAAGGTGGGTTCTAAGATCCTGAGTTTAATCCCCATTACTGCATACCCCAACAGCAACAACAACAAAAAGTAGAATGGTGATTCCAAGAGACTGAAATATTTTTTATCCAGTTTTCCTGATTTTTCACAGGAAGATTTTGTTAATTGTAAAGAATTCAAAGCTAGAAGTGGAAATACTTGCAAATGAGCTGAGACAGTGTTTAAGGTGTTGCATGTGTTTTCCTAGAAAAATGTTTTAGGTTATAGGCTATCAGGTAAGATAGCTTGGAATTTAATGATAAAATAAAGAGCTTGAGGAAAACACCAAATATTTTAAATAACCAAAATGAGAAAATGTAAGGAGATAAAAATAAAATTACTTTTTCATTTTCTCTGATATATATGTTAGGTGACCTGTATTGTGGCACACTTAACAATACTGTTTCTTCATCCTAGGTAGCCTACTGAAATACTTGAGGGAAAATAAAGAGTGTGTTTTTAAGTGTATTATTGCACTTTCCATTGAGGTGAGATCAAATAAAACCATCCTTACTGCTTTGTTCAACAATCAAGCATATCATTCACCATCTCTGTCCCTATCAGTGTTAGACAACATTCTTTTCATGTCACTTTCTGGTGCTGACGCTTCTTTAACAGTCATCAACAAACCTCAACCATTCTCTGTGAAGAAAAACAGTGAAAGGACTGAGAGGTATGTTTTTTCTTTCATTAGAATTGACTCGTACACTTTAAACATGTCCTTTCCACCACATCTGATTATATTTCTATGATAAAAGCAGCTATTGATATTTTCTGCTTTGTTAATTGATATGTCTTTGTTATTGTTGTTTTTTCTACAGGACTGTAAATGGACAGCAGGTAGCCATAAAATTACAGTTGGGCTTAGCATTTTTAGTAAGTGGCTTTTGCTTTCTGACAGTGGCTGAGAGGATCACTAAGTCAAAGCACATCCAGTTTTTGAGCGGGGTCTCTACCCTTGTGTACTGGCTTTCTGCTCTACTATATGACTTCATCATCTTCTTTATTTCCTGCTGCTTACTACTGGTAAGTGATAACATTTCTTGAGAGTTTATTTGCCTTGTATACCACTTAGAAAGTGCCTATTTTAAGAGTATCATAAACCCAGCTCTGCCAGTAAACTATCTATGTAAATTCTCTTAAATGCATTGCAAAAGTCACATGGTAGACTTCATTAGGAGTAAGTAATTCCAATATCCTTCATAGAAAAAAATCACTTTTCTGTGCAATAACACCAGAACCTCTTATGGGCTAATGTTACATTGATTTTCTCATCTTTTGCTGATTTTCAAAGCTGCTGTAAAGGTGGAAAGACACTTTATCTATAATGTCTCATACTACCCAGTCTTGCCTGGTTTTGTTATTAGTGAATAATTGCTATCATCCAAATGCTTTCCTTGGATTCAGGGTGTGGTTTGTTTAAATTTAAATCCTTCTTTATGGCTCTCCTATTGGAATTTCTAAGCAAAGGAGGTATGTAGATCACTATTTTAAAACAACTAGTGCCTACTCATTTCCAATTCTGAGTTTTATGAAGGTAAGTGTCCACTAGAAAACACTTCATAGACAGGAAAGCTTAGTGAGATTTTTTGTTCTTATTCACCCCAAATTCACACCGTCCAGTTTCTCCTGATGAGGAATTAAAAACAAAGAATAAAATATATATATGAATATATCTACCTGTTCCCTAGTAAAATATAGTCCCATGTATGTTCCAGAACACTGCCCAAACAAATGTCTTAACAAAGAAACTGAATGGACTTTTCTCCAAAGACATACAAATGACTAACAGACATATAAAAATATGCTAAATTTCATTGATATGCAAGAAAATTCAAATCAAAATTATGAGTTATAACTATGTGCCCAGTAGGATGACTATAATAAGAATGAGACAGAGAGAGACAGAGAAGGAGAACAGGGAAAGAACTAAGTATTGTCAGTATTTTGAGAACTGGATTCCTTGCCAACAGCTGGCAAAGTGCCAAATGTTGCCACTGCTGTGGAAACCACCATGGAATTCTCTCACAATATTAAAAATAGTAATATGGTAATATGATCTGACATCCCCATATCTGAATATTTATTAAAAAGAGTTGAAGTCATAATTGCAAAGATATATCATCAATCCTGCATTCACTATGCAGTATTAACAATAGCCAATGGTTAATCAACCTAAATGATTATCAGTAGATGAATAAAGAAAACATAATATAAACATACAATAAAATATTATTCAACATTAAAAAGGAAATTAGTTCTCATAGTTGTTATAATTATAGGTAACCTTGAAGAAAATTATGGTAAGTGAAATTAAACAGTCACATAAGGTCCAGTACTACCTAAGTTCTATATATGACATATATGAAATAGTCATTCACAGATTCAAAGAGAGGAGACATTGCCAGATGCAATAGCGTATGCCTATAATCACAGATACTTGGGAGATTAAGGCAGGAGGATTATGGTTCAAGAACAGCCACAGCAACTTAGTGACCCTGGCTTAAAATAAAATTTTGAAAGGGCTGAAGGTACAGCTCCATGGTAGTAGAGTGCCTCGCATGCACAAGGTGTCTCTGCTAACACAAAGTGATGATGCTTCCTCATCAATAGGGTTGGCAGCCCCATTGCTACCTACCCCGACAAAAATAAAAAATAAAAGTGGAATGGCAGTTTCCAGAGACCAAGGGAAAGGAAAAGCAATAGTTACTATCAACAAAGTTTCAGTTAGACAAGTTGAATAAGCATTACAGAGCTGCAGTACAAGATTGTACCTATTCAATACAAAAGATAAAATAGATTAATGAGAAGATGTCAATGACATGAGAAATGTACAAATAACAAAATGCAAAAGTAAGTTCTTATAAGTAATTACACCAACTGTAAATAAATTCTCCAGTGAAAAGACATAGATTGGCAGAATCAATCAAAAATATGATCTATCCACAAGAGACTCAATTTAGATTTATTGACACAAATACTTTGAAAGTAAAGTGATGGAATGATGATAGTCTTTCTTTAAAAAGGAGAAATTCCTTAACACTCAAAAATAATTTTAAGACAAAAGTTATTAAATTAATCAAAGAAGAAATGGAAAAATGTTACAGCTATTGTATAAAATAGTTTTGAGGTTCCTCAAAAAGTTCACATATAATTACCATATGACCCAGCAATTTATACCTACATCTATACCCAAGATAATTGCAAACATCCATTTTTTTAAACTTAAAAATGTGTTCAGAGATTAAAAATGGTGAAGAGCAGCAACAAAATATAGCCTGTGTGGGACCAATTGGTAAGAAAAAATATAACAGGTCTCTTGAGAATCAGGAGAAAGATAACAGGAAAACTAGAAAGTATAAAGAAGCTACAGAAACTCAGCACAACACAGAGAAAAGAATAAAGCACTCTAAACTGCTAACTTCAGCTCCCAGGGAAGAGAACTTGTCTCTACTAACACAAAATAAGCCCAGAGAGGGTTGGTAGCCCTAGAGAGAAACAGTGTACCAGGCCAGCAGTGCTAGCTCAAGAAAGTCAAATTTATTGTAAATTGCAAATACTACATAGGATTTTACTCTGAAAGAAATTACTTCTGTATAGCAGGGCACAGCTAGAAAAATAAAATCCATTGCAATGTCTCTATCAGGAGTGTTTAATGAGGAGCAGTTTTTGGAAGGAGTAAATTGTTTAACACTGAGCTATAGAACAACCGTACTTTAGGGCTTCTGGGATCACCCTATCGCAGTGACTAGGTGGGAGCCTGCCACAAGAAGTAGTTAGAAAGAAGGCACCCTGAGAAGTTTAAGCTATACTAGGAAAGACACAGGTGCCCTCTATGGTGAGAAGCCAAGCTGATTGTACTATAGTTTTTGGAGGAGGCTAGGTCTGAAAGTGATGGCATTAAGTCCAGTGGATTAAATCGCTTGACTCCCACCACTACCACCGTGCTGACTACGTCCAAAACAGAACTCAGTAATCTGATTGCCTTTCTCGTCTCTTGAGATGGTCAGAGATATACCTTGGCTTGCATGGTTGCCATAGTCTGGGATGCACAGACAAAGGTGTTTCTGGAGGAGGGATGGCATCTCACAAACCCATAGGCTATAAAGCTAGATGAAAAAAGCAATGATGTGGGGTGCATAGGATGTGGAACCTGGGAGTGGCTGAAGTGAATACATCCCAACCATGCCCAGCATGAACAACAGGGCAGGATTCAGTATTTATACACACAAAAAGAGGCAGATTAACTGAAATAATGAACACTTCCCTGTTAAAGTAGGACTTGTTATTTTCTTCTCTGAATATTCTGGCTTGGTTTATATTTGCACTTACCATTCACCTTGCTTTTATTTCACTATCTTCTACCCTGTGTTTCAGGGAATATTCAAATATTATAATATTGATATTTATATCATGGATTACCACTTTCTGGAAACAATGTTGATCTTTGTGCTGTATGGCTGGTCTTCCATTCCCCTCATATACCTGATGAGCTTCCTATTTTCTGAAAGTACTTCTGCATACATCAAACTCATCCTGTTCAACTACATCTCAGGCACTTACAGTATCCTCATAGAGCAATTATTAAGTGGCGGTAAGTATAAAAACTTCACAAAATCTCCCCCTCTCAAAAAGAGAGCAGTAAACAAATAAGGAGAAATGGGTTTACAGATATGTAAGGACGTCTATAGACAATTATGTTCTCACTTGATGTAAGTTAATAGTCTTATTTTGAATACCTGTGATATTCTAAACATTGTGCACAACCTAGGTTCTTTGTAAAGAGGTGATGGGACTCTACTTAAGATGCCGGTCCTTAGACATGGTGCCTCCTCCGTATCCCTCGTTCCTATAGCTTTTTCACATGACTTAAGGAATCTGTTTGGCATTTGATTTTAGGAACTTTGGGAATATTTTGTCCCTAAAATTCATTTTTCAGAGAGGGGAAGGAGAAAAGCGGCTTTTTTTTTTTTTTACCAAAGGTAGGTTTTATAAAATTAGAGCTATAAATAAAATACAGCAGTGTTTTTAATCTTTAAAACTATCATCACTTGCTGGGCGTGGTGATACATGCCTGTAATTCTAGCACTCATAAAGTTGAAGCAGGAGGATCATCACTAGTTTGAGGCCAGCCTGGGCTACAAAGTGAGTTCAAGCCTGGCCTAAACTTTGCAGCTAAACCCTGTCTCAAAAAGACCAAAAAATGTTCCATGACTTGACATTTAACATTTTGGAGAAAGAATGGAGGATAATTTTGAGTTATTGGCACAGATACACAGTTCTAATCAGGGAAGATTTTATGGCATCTCTCTTATAATTTAGAAAAAAGACACAAGAACCTGTGTCTCCTAGCAAGATTTTCCATAAAGATGGAAACCTTTTTATGCACCTGACATACATATAATTGAGCCAGTTTTCCTTCCTTCTGGTTCTAGTTTTTCCAAATCTGAGATTTATATCTCCTCCTTTTCCTTCTCCGATTAAGTGGCTGGATATGTATTTACTAAAGTGATCAGTGTTAATAAGAGATTTTAAAAATGACTATTGTAGTGGTGCCTCAATTCATGAGCCTAATTTGCTCTATAGTTGTGGAGAAAATGGCCACATTTGTGTTTGTGTGGCAAAGGTGGCCCCAGTCATGTTTGTCATTCACTGCAAGGTTTGAAAAGAAAAACAAAATGTTGCCAAATGCTCTTGTTTAAGAACCACATTGTTTGCAAACAAAAGCATTTTTGAACCAGGGTGCCACTTGTTGCTCCCTTTTTAAAAAATCATCTAATAAATATGAATTTGAATTGAGTCAGAATCTTTATCCTGCTCTGTTGTTGCAGACCTCTGTAAGCACAGTCTTCCCACTTCCTTCTCTTAATCCTTGGCCTATCATAAAAGAATTTCCTGCCTTATTTGAATGCTGGTTTATTATGTGCAAAAAACTCACTGGGAAGTAATTACTCTTCAAAGATAATCATCTGGTTTTTAATTTCGTGAAACTGGTTTTATCATTAATAGGGGGTTTCTTTTCTTAAGAATAGTTTATTTCTTATTATGTGACTACTCTTATCCTTTTAGAAATGCAAACTACCATGTCTAATGCCACTCAAACCTTTCTGCGTAATACATTACTGCTCTTTCCCAATTACAACCTTGTGAAGTGCATCAGTGACTATACTGTTGTCTACAAAATGAAGATTTTGTGCAGCCAGAAAAATCACTTCCTAAATTGTAGTAAAGAAAGTAAGTATCTTTCCTATTTTTTTTTTTTTTACCAGTACCAGGGATCAAACTCATGATCACCTGCTTGCAAGGCAGGTTCTTATGCCCCTAGCTAAATCCCAAGCCCTGAAAGTAAGTATCTTGAAGAGCTCTAAATCTTTAGGAAATTTGCTTCAGGCCCAGACCATGGAAGGTGTGATGAACTTCCTCATCTTTCAGATAAGAACATATGCTTTGTTATATAAGTCATTTTGCAAGATGGGGGAAATATTTTTAAACATTGCAAAGCCTCAGAAGCGTGTCCAAAGTAAGTTTAAAGTAGTTATCAAGTACACAATCAGAACAATAATCAACTATCAGCATTATAGGTATTACTTTAAATTTTCATAACAACCTCAAGTTATCTGTTTGTACACTCAGTTTCAGGAAACTGACTTTGTACCCTATGTCATGGTCCCCAACCCCCATGTCATTCATGACCCATTACAAACAGAGCCACACAGCAAGAGGTGAATTGCAGGCAAGCAAGCGAAACTTCATCTGTATTTATACCTGCTCCCCGTCACTTGCATTACTGCCCAAGCACCACCTCAAGTCAGATCAGTGGCAGCATTAGATTGCTGTAGGAGCCTGAACCTTCCTGTGGACAGTGCATGCAAGATCTACACTGCACCTTCTATATGAGAAGCTAATGCCTGATAATGTAAGATGGAGTTGAAGCAGTCCGTGGAGAGTGACTGCAAATACAGATAAACAATAGCAGAGGAGCTTGACTGCCAGAGACCATAATAAATCAGTTGTTATAACTGACCTATATCTTATTAAATAATCTTGAAAATACATTACTTATAGTGAGTGGACAGTGTAGGAAATGAAGGAGTGCTTACTAAGCCTGGTCCTACCTAAAAACAATCATCAGTGACCACAAAAGGCAATAGCTCAGTACTCAAACAGTGTAAGCTATAGACAATTCCATAATTCCATAGAACAATTTTGAAAGATTTAAAATGTTTGTAAGTTTTGGCTTTACATATATAGATTTAGTAAGGTATTGTATTTATTTAATTCCAGCCATCTATTTATTTATTTATTTACATCATCTTTATTTTTATAGCTTAGTAGTTATTGAAAATACATTTTTAGCATTATTCTATATATCTTTTAATACTATTATAAAGGTTATTACTTAAAGTGTCATTGTTTGGTTGTTACTGATACAGAGAAATATAAATCAGTTTATATTCATATATTGAGCTTGCTAAATTAATTTTAGTAATTTAAGTATAGTTGGTTTGTATATCAATGAATATTTTTTAAAGCAGCTGCTAATATACTTGTTTCTTTTCCAGTCCTTATATACTTATTTCTTGTCCTTGCCTGACTACTTTATCAGAAACATAGCTCAAAGCATTATAAATCTAATGGTAATAACAGACTTCCAGGTTTATTCCAATTTCAGAATAAACATCATAATATTTTACCATTAAGTATGTTGTTTACTACAGAAAACTTTATCAGATTAAGAAAGTCTCTATTTCATCTTTGGTTTTCAAGTCATGAATAAATAATTCATTTTTATCACATGCTTTAAACTGCTTGTGTTGATGTAAACACATGATTTTTCTACTTGGATTCTACTGAGTTATGTATTTATTCTATTAAATTATGTACACTGGATTTGTAATGCAGTTACAAACCAATAAACTGTAACCAGTTTATCAATATTATCACTACTTCCCACCCCTAGAAAAAAGACATTTATAAAGAAACTATATTTCATTGTACCAACATAAATATCTTTTATAAATTAAGCATATAAGTAATCATCCCAAATCCATCATCATCCTTCCATAGAGTTATTGTTTTTGGTGGAAATCACAGATCACAAACCACAACAAAAGAGTAGCCCCAGGATTCATATAAAGGTAGTATGAGAAGACAAAATATTTTTGAAATATTATTTAAAGATTAAAAACAAAACACATAGGCAGGCATGGTAGCACACACTTGTGATGCTAGCACTCAGGAAGTGGAGGCAGGAGGATCACAGTTGGAGGCCAGCGTGAACTAAAAAGTGAGTTCAAAGCCACTGCATCATGAGACCCTGCCACAAAAAGACAAGAAGAAAAAGGAGAACAAGGAGGGGTGAAGGAGGAGGGAGAAAGAGGAGGGGGGAGGGGGAAGAAAAGATGAAGAAGAAAAGAAGAAAAAGAAGAAAGAAGCAGCAACAGCAGCAGCAGCTTGGTACAGCGGCTATACCTATAATCTCAGTACTGTAGTAGAGGCAGAAGGATCAAGAGTTTGAAACTAGCCAAAACTACATAGTCCAAAAAAAAAAAGGAAGAAAGCTAACAAATACTGCCTCAAAAAAAAGTAAGAAAGCTAACAAATATTGCCTCAAACAGATATTCAAGGTCAACATTAACAGATAATTTACATTGATAATATATACCCTATATTTAATAGGATAAAAACACTGCAATGCTAGTCTAAGCATGAAAAAAGGGACATTATATTTAAAAACTAAGAAATGTGAGTAAATTAACTACTTTGGTTAATAAATATGTATTGATATTTGTTCATTCATGATAACATGTACCATACTAAAAGTATGTTGTTCATAGTAGGAGAAACTGAATGAAGGATATACAGATTTCCTTATGCTCTCTACAGTTTTTCTGTAAATACAAAACTGTTCTAAAAAATTTAAGGGATGAGTTATAATTCTCTTATAACAAGAATTCTGTGTCTTTTATTCTCAAGAAAGTTCAAAATGTCAGCTAATGATCAGTTTTACCTTGTTTAAAGGATAATGTGTTCTCTCTTCCAAGAGTATTTGTACTTTAAAATTTTCTTTCAATTATCAACTTAATATTTTACTCCTCTGAAAGGATTTTGACCCTATGTTTGTCATGTAATAATTACTATGCATATCAATATATATATTAAAATTCATAGGCTTATTTTATTACCATGCATTATGTTAATGAGAGTCAGCCTTCAAAATTCATTACTAGTCAATGATATTTTATATCAGGATAATTACTTCTTGTACTCTAAATTATTTTATTTTGGTTTAGCCTAATATTTCATTTCCCCTATATTTCTTTTTACGTGCCAATGTTGTGCAGTAATAGCATTCTGTTTCTCTCCTTCCTCCTCAGATACTGAGAAGAGTATTTATTCTTTGGAAAATCATATGATTGGAAAATGTTTGATTATTATGAGTATCTTAGGCTTTGTTTTCCTTATCTTCATTTTTCTTTGGGAGAATGCTTTGTGGAGATTGAGAATATTTATCCACCAGTACATTTACTTTGGTATCTATAAGAAATACAAGAAGGTGAGTACTTAAGCATGGAGCAACTAAGAACAACTCTAAAAGTGTTGGAAATTATGCCAATAAAGCATTTATATGCGACCACCTCAGTTATTGAATAAAAGAAAACTCCACTGATTTTAGTTCCCAACCCCTACTACTTTTAGCAAAAGCTACTTATTACTGCAGATAAGTTGCTTTTTTTAAGTCTTCTCTCTCAGATTGACTTTGTTCTTAAGAATTCAGATGATAAAATCATTTCTCTAAGTGCTCTAAAGTCTTCCAAGATTTAAAGTATACATTATAGCATTTTGATGCACATTCTATTTTGTGAGTACATTTTCTCTAGTCTCCACCTTAATTTTTATAGCGAACCAATCATTACTCAAAGTTTAAAACAGTTGTACGTTAGAGCTGAAGTGATATTCAGAAAGTCTCTTGGAAATTATAGAAAATTTCTGCTTTAATATCTCTAATATTATCTTCCAGTTAAGGTTTCATGAAACATCTCAATCTAGAATAAATGCCTCAAGGGCATATTTCTTGTCTTTAAAATACAGAATTTCATCTCCAAGGAATTATCAGGGAAATTTGAAGATAAAGATGTTCAAAATGAGAGAACAAAAATTTTGAAACATCCTCAAGAAGTGATGAAATCTCCTTTGCTTATTAAAGAACTCATGAAGGTAATGTCACTCAGTGACTTATTGCTTCACACCTTCCTAAGGGTGCACCATTGGCATCGCGGGTTCACTGTGTCCTCTGGGATCAGTGTGTTTTCTTCCAAAAGAGTTCTTATAAAGCTATCTGATGTATTGATTTAAGGTACACCTTAGTGAATTGTGCTTTCTGAATTTTTTTTTAGATATACTTTAAATATCCAGTAATTCTGGCTGTGAAAAATATCTCCCTTGCAGTCCAAAAGAGGGAGTGCTTCGGATTACTTGGATTTAATGGGGCAGGAAAAACAACCACATTTGAAATTTTGACTGGTGAGCTTAGTCCTACCTCTGGGGATGTGTTCATTGATGGCTTTAACATCACCAAAAATAACCTAAAGGTAAGATTCTGTTACAGTATAAGATGTGAAAATGTTGGTGATTTGGGGACACAGGTAATAGACAAGTGCCTAAGGATAACATATGGCAACCATGGTTGATATTCATATTGACACTGTTGATAAAATCAGTGAGTCTGGAAAACTAAATAAATATTTAAAAAGAGAATGAAGCATTAAGTATATAACCTACAGCAAAAGTGTCTTTTGTGTTCTTTGAAACTAATGTAGTAAAAGGAAAGTTTTCTCAACTGCACATCTACCAAATGTCAGATAAGGTGATGATAGTATAAGAATCGCAAACCTGGAAAGAAGATCCAAAATTCAGTTCCAACAAAGATCAGATTGCTGAAAATACTACAATAAGATGGCCTTGGAGAGTGGTCGCAAATCAAAGCTAGGTCACAAACCATTGTATCTTTGTATTACCTAGTCCTTGGTTCTATATGTCACCCAGAAAAAAAGCTAAGTGTGCTGAGAATTTTGAGAAGAGAGTGGCCAAAGTTTTAACTGTCATGACATCTCAAACAAGGACTATACATTAGATTTAGTACATAGAATTTCACTGGTTAAGGGCAGCAAGAATAATTGTACTGTAACTCAAACACATTTATACTAGAAGGGAAGAAATTGACTAAGGAGAGGAAAAAGTGATATGTGATGAAAGGAGGTTCATGAGCCCTACCAGGTGGTCCTCATAGTGCAGAGGGTAACACAGGTCACCCCTAAGTATCCTTTTCTACATCACTCATTAGATCTCCTTGGGAGACAGAAAAGTGGTATCAAATAGTCCCAGTAGCTTTGCTGTGAGGAACGAAAATATTAAGTGTATTTGGTGCCAGGAGCAGAAGCTGAATTGGAAAGTAAAGACAAGAAACTAGTGTGAAAAAGAAAAACCAGGCACACAAGCAAAATATGAGCCTTTGGGAATGACTGATTCTGAGTTCAATAAATCTGAGAGAACTTTTTCAAGCTCTAGAGAGTTTGCTGTTCTAAAACATCTCTCACATTTTATGTGACAGATGGTGATAATTCTCATTTATTCAAGCCTTTAAAAATATCCTCTAACATTGTCTTTAAATTGTGATAAAAATATATAACATAAGGTAAATTTTACCATTTTAAACACTTCTGAATCTGCAGTTGAGTGGCATTAAGTACATTCACATTGCGGTGCACTCATTACATCTCCAAAACTTTTTCATTTCCCAAGCTAAAAATCTGTACCCATCAAACAATAAACCTGATTCTGCCTTTCATGCTCTGGTGAATTTGACTATATATTATGTACCTCATATAAGTAGAATCACATGTTTATCCTCTCACTAAGCATATTGACTTCAACTTACATCTATTTATTAGAATTTCACTCCAATTTTAGGCCAAACAATATTGTTTTATGAGTATATGACATTTTGTTTGTCCATTCATCTGTTGAATATTTGTTATTTTTATGATTATGTATTACAGATAACAATGTTATGAATACTAGTATAAAATGTGTTAATTTTCTGTCCCTGTAAAAAATACATAATTCACTTATGCAGAGAAAAGATTTATTTTGGCCCATTGTTTTTGAGGTTCCAGTTTATGGTCAGTAGTCCCTGTTGTTGCAGGAGAGCTTTGGAGTTTGGGCCAGAATACAACCACTTACCTCCTGGCCAGGACACAAAAAACAAAGAGGAAGAGCCCAGGGTTTTCCTATCCCTTTCAAAGTCCTGTCCCCAGTGATCCTAGGAGAGCCCACTAGTACTTGTCTCTTGGAAGTTCTACCCCCTCCTAGTAGAGCCATTCTGAGGACAAAACTTTAACATATGGGCCTTTGAAATATATTCAGTGCTCAAACTATAGCGAAAAATACCTTTCTGAGTACCTGCTTTCAGAAATTGTCTTGAGCACATACCTAGAAATAGAATTGCAAAATTATATGGCAGTAATTTTATGATCATTTTTGAAACTTTACTGTATTACATATGAGCCGCACCATTTATATTCTCACCAGTAACGCACAGGCTTCCCATTTCTTAACATCATCACTAACATTTCTCGTTTGCTGTTTCATTTAAAATAGAAGCCATCCTATATATATGAGGAAGTATCATTTCCATGTTTATTAGTGATGTTTAGCATTTTTTTGCTTGTTGTCATTTCTATCTTCTTTGGAGAAATAACTATTTAAGTTATTGGACCAATTTTAAATTCATTGGTATTTTTTTTGTTTTGTTTTATTTTTTATTTATTTATTTTTTTGTTCACTGGGACTAGTTCTCTAACTATTCTAGATACTAAGGTCTTATTGTATATATGATTTGTAAATATTTTATCCTGCTTTGTGGATTGCTTATTCCAGTGTCCTTTGGTAGGCAAAACTATTAATTTGATGAAGTCCAATTTATCTAATTGTTATTGTTTTGTGATTTTGGTCTAAAACTGGTATAACTTGTAAATTTAACTCTTTGGTCCATTTTGAGTTTATTATTGTATGTGGTATAAGAGAAAGATACAACTTTATTCTTTTGTGTATAAATATTTTTCCAAATACCACTTTTTTAAAACTCTTGTCAGTATGTTTTAAAATACACAATAGTTACATTCATCTTGAGAAACTGATACATACACATATTGCATCTTGATCATTTCTATTTCCTCCCTCATCACCACTGCCCTCACCTCTCACCCCTTCCCATCTGTGCAGTACAAAGTCTACATCCTTGTTTATAGAGAGCCTTTCCCATTCCTCACCTCAGTCCAGGAAGCTTATATTTGTAAATCCATAGAAAAGTCATTGAAATTCCAATAAATTAATTCCAATCTACCACTTCCCAGTGCAACCCACAGCAAGAATAAGGACCCTAAGACATATTTATAGCTATGGGGAGTCAAGGGAGTCCTAAGTCCAGCCAAAATGGTCATTCACCACAGCAAACGCCTTGACTCAGGGCCAAACCCAGGTTTTATTAATTCTCGATGAGGTGAGTGGCTCGAGAATGTGTGACTGTGAGAGTCGTGGGAAACACATGATCTGGGCTAGGTAGATGGCTTGGAGTTACCTCTGCAATATGTAGAGGGAGAAGGATACACAGAAGGAGTAATCTGCATAACACAGCTTGAGGTGCTATCTAATGTTTTGGGGTCAGTGCTTCAGTTCTGATATGTAAACTTTTCTGCCCTGGGAAGTCATAACTTCTTATGGCAAGGATCGTTCCGTTGACAGCATGGAGCAGTGGCTCTTCATCCTGCCCAACTCAATCATATTTTGTTGGGAGTCACAGGGCTGAGAAACAGGGACTGTTGCCTAGCTTCAAAGATTATACATCAGCACGCCAGCAAGCCCTATTTATATTGCTCAAAGCCAGTTGAAGGGATAAATTCCAGCCAGCTCTGTACATATCAGTACATGTGTTTCCCACAACTTTTACAGTCACTCATTCTCAATTGCTCTTTATTCAAGGAGTGTCATCCAGGTGGCCCTCTATACCTGTTTCCTATCATTTCTTTTTTGTTTTGTTCTTTATTTTTATTCTGGGTTTCTCATGTAAGAGATCCTGTATATCTCTACTTCATGCATTCTGTTTGTTTCTTATATTGTTTATTTAGGGTTTCCATCTTTTTGCATTATTCCTCTAATTTTTAAAATATGTCTTCTTCAGATGTGTTCAGCATTTTTTCATTACATTTATCATTTCTTCTATTACCTGGGAGATTATTTCTGATCTGAGTTCTTTTATAGCTTCCCGGAGTTGTTTCTTTACTTCAGTTGTTATCATTTCAGGAATTTCAAGTGTATAGCTTACATTTTCTTCTGTGTCCATGTCTCCTAGGCTTGCTAGAGTTGGGCTGGAAGTTTGAGATTGTATTGTGCTCTTTCTTTTTGTCATTTTCCTATATTTTCAGGTTTCCAGCAATGTTTCAAAGCTTCTCCCCCCTCCATAGGTGCGCTGGAAATCACCTGACCCACTTTTAGCCCCCGGGGCAGACTTCAGTCAACTGCTAGCTGCTTGGATATTGCTGAGCATGACCCAGTTAGGCCCACTGAGACCTCCCATGTATTCTCCAGATATTTGGGATGCTGGGCATGGTCTCACAGCTGAGAGTGAAGTTCCAAAGCTTCCCTGTGATTCAACTCACGCACATTTGGCTCCTGAGACTGAATTCAGGCCCCTGCTAGCTGCTTGAAGTTTGCTGGGCGTGGCCTCTCATGTAAGATAAACCATGCCACATTTAATTTTCTTTCTCTGATTTCTTCCACTTAGCATTATGGCCTCAAGATCTATTTAATTTTTTTTACAAATGACTCAAACTTATCCTTTTCTATGGCTAAGATGGATAAATAATCACATTTTATTTATCTATTCATCTTAATGGGCATCTATGCTGCTACCAAGACTGAACTATTATGAGATGTGCTATTATACATATTGATAGAATCGTGGGGGACCAATGGTGACTGAAAAGATAAGAAGTATGAAATATAAATGACCTTTATTTTGAGGATGCGGGGGGAGACACCCCCGATCCCCTGGGGCACAGCATCTCCCCTCTGCCCCCCTCCGGGGTTGGGGATCTCTCCGTGGAACCCGTGGAGTAGGGGCATACATGTAGCTTAGGTTAGGGGTGGTGCCTGAGGGGCATTAGGGATGCACAAGTAGCCCATTGGTATTCTTTTGGCGCCATAGGTAAATTCCTAGGGGTGGGGGAGATGGAGCTCCTTGGTTCCGCCTGAGGCTTTACCAGCTACAGTGTCCTATCTGGGCCAAAACTCTTTCATATCCCATCTTATGATTATTATTATGAAAAGGGGCGAAGATTTCTCTCTTTAACTGCTTCCTGCTGACAGAGGGCACTGTACTGGGGTCTAGGGGAATCGACAGGATGACGGTTGATGCCCAGGTAGAAGCTGGTGCCAGGTGTTTTAGCCAGGACAACTTCACTGGTGAATGTACGTATGTTAGACTGGAAAAACAAAGAGACAAGATGTTATGAGGAGGCATGGCACTGTCATA